TGTCAGAGGCAATAAGATTGGCCCAGGATAGAGCAGGGTTTAGGGCTGTTGTACACAGTGCTGCACGATACCAGGGACTTGGCCAGCTGTCATCCTCACCCCGTACCCAACACTATGCGCACGGCCAGGCAGTCAGTAAGGCGGCAGACTGTATGGTCAGAAAGAACTGGTTTTGACTTCAGCCCACTGAGTGGAGTATGTGTGTGTTTTCGAGTAGTGTATTGTAAACTCTCTTAGCCTCTACTTCATTGTTTGTAAAATGACTATGATAACACTATCCTTGCTACAGCTTTATTTTTAGAAATCAGAATGTGATTAGCATAAGCGCTCAGTAAGGGTCTGGACACGCTGAGTTATTAAGAATGTTTAAATAAGGGGAGCTCTGGTGGCCTAGTGGCAAGGAGCTGCAACTACAATCCTAGAGGCGCACGGTTCAAATCCACCAGATGCTCTGCCGGGGAAGGAGGGACAATCTCCTCCTGTACCAGTCAGATCTGATTTGACGGTACACGCACAGAAAAGTAATAAAATTTAAAAAAAAAGAATGTTTAAATAAATGAATGGATAAATTGCATAAGGTTCATCAACCTCAATTTCTCTCTGGGCGTTCAGATGCTTTCTCCTGGACCCCAGTGCTTTGCTCTGAATTTTTTCCTCTCGCTTCCATTCAGAGACACCAGCATCCCCTGCAGACCAGCCTCCCTCCAGACCTCCCTGTCCCTCCGGAGGCCGGACCCAACTCGGCAGATGAAGAGGGGCTCCACTATGCGGTACTCAACTTTAAAAAGCTGAAGCAGCTCGAGCGGGAGGACTCTGACACCGAATACTCAGAGATAAAGATACACACGTGAGGATTTTCTCACAGCCATAACCTTGCGTGGAAGGTACATGGTCTCTGTACAGAGCCCTGGGGTCGTCGTCTGTAGGCAGTTGTGCTGCCAACCCAAAGGGTGGTGGTTCGAATCCACCAGCTGCTCTTTCAGGGGAAAGACAATCTCTGTGCAATTTGCAGCCTCAGATAAACCAATGGAGGGTAGCTATGAGTTGTTTCAGAGTCAACAACGAGTCTATGTATGAATGAGTTTGCTTTTCCAAGCAGGATGCCTTTTTTCCAAGGACTGGTACTTTCTGATAACGTGCTCCGACTTTGTGAGAGCATCCTGTTGCTAAGGAGTGCCTTGGATGTACATCCTCCTCGAAGATTTCTTTGTTGGCAGTCCATGGTCTATTCTGTATTTTTTGCCAGAACTACAGTTCAAAGTCATCTATTTCATCTCTGGTCTGCCTTTATTAACTGTTCAACTTTCAAATAAATCCCCTCAAAAAAATCCAAATGAGATTCTGTTTGTTTTGCTTGATTTTCTTAACGAGATGTGACCAAATGACATTAGACTTGAACTTTTAACCTGTTTTATGTCCGTTTTTTCCTAGTGTAATCTCCAGAATCAAGTAGTCTTTACTGCCACCATACAACGAGGGGCAATCAATGGTCACTGAGTCTGTCAGGATACTTGCTGTACTGCCCTTTAACACCGTCAACCGCAGGGGATAATATGGTCAGTCATAATGTCGTTACGTACAGAATTACATGAAACCATTGAAGGAAAAGTAATGCCAACTTGTCGGTCAGTACAGGCTTGTTACAGTGGTGATGGGTTGTCAGGTTGGAAGTGACTCATAGCTGACCCTCCAGTGGGTTTCGAGAGGCGGTAAATTGCACAGAAGGAGACTTCCTGTCCTCCTTCCGTGAAGCACCTGTGGGTCAGAACCACGTGCCTGTAGGATTGCAGCACAGCTTCTTCCGACTAGGCCACCAGGGCTGTTTAATACAGGAGGAAGGGACCTTATTTCATGAGGCATCGTGCTGAGGCGTTGGACTGCCATCCGAAAGGCAGAAGGTTCCACTCCACCAGCTTCCCTGAGGGAGAAAGATGGGCAGTCTCTTCTCATGCATTTGACAACTTTTGGAAACTCACTGAAGGGTCAGCTCTAAGTCGGTTCTGAAACATAACAACAATAAATGTAAGCCTAATGTCAAGAAGACATAGATTCTCACCACTGGACCAATCGGTAGCATCAGGATGGATGG